GTTTTTAGTCGAATTATGTTTTTGCAGGTCAGGTTGCAAAGTGGCAGGTCGGATTTGACATTGTCAAGTTGACAACGGTCCTAAAAAATATCCGAAAAAACGTTGAATCAAACGATATGAACCTACGCAGTTTTATATTATAAGACTGACACACACCAGTGTGCTAACTGTGCTGGGTGAGGTGCTGTAACTTGATATACATGTATCATTAAGTTACAGTACTGTTAGGATTTGCCTGCCTTTTTACAGGGACTTTCTATACTAACTGTTAGTATAGACTGCCCCTGGCTTGAAAGTATGGTTCTCTGCTCATCAACGGGTGCGTGATAAGCAAATCAAATATCTTGTAGCAGTAAAATACCTCCCGGGGGGGGGGGGGAGGGGCACTTCAATACTTAATTGATAGGGGGTGTCGCTGGGGTTCTGTTACCCCACCCTATTCATATAATTTAGATCTTAAAAATGTATACATTTTCATATATTGCGTGGGTAAAATTTTAACCTTTTCCCATATTGGTTGGTTTTCGTGGGGTGTGTTGGAAAAGTGGAATATTTAAGATTCTGTATGTAATGTTTACTTACGGCGAGACTTTCGGCTGTGAAAAAATGACAGGGCTTTTCATATACAAGTAATTGGAACTTTATCGACCTTATCATATATTTCTGATAGTTTTCCCCACCTATTCCCATATTTTCAAGCTGGAAAAAGTGACCTATTCCAGCGGCACGTCCTATCACCTTGTATATAGGAAGTGCCCCCCCCCCCCCCCCCCCCTCCCCCGAGTAAAATACACAATTGTATAATACCTTAATTCAGGAGCACAGTCTGTCTTTACCGTAAATAACTTCGAGAATAATATTTAAGTTTACTTTGCTAATCGATGTTCCTGTAATTCAGATTTAAATTTATTTGTGAGACCCCCGTCACTATTTATAATTCACTCAAAGAAAGGGGTTCTCCGTTACTGGGAAAATACAAGGACGTATTGTGTTAGTTAATCTTATCTAATTCAGGATCAATTTATCGGTTACACTCCCCAATCACCAGTGATTCTTGGTGAACTGACATTCTGAAGGTATACTGTTGACTATCAATTTGCATGATTAGTTACAGATGTCGACTCGGACTACTGCAAAAGACAATAATTCAGTTCACTGATTTAGATTGAATAGTGGTTCGGTTAATCCCCTCTTCCCCAAACAAGTAAGAATTAGGTTACATCTTTTGGTAGTCCAAATAATTATGACGTCTAGCAAGGCTATTTTATTTTTTTATGCCCCCGCCGTAGCGGTGGGGGCATTAAGTTTTACCCTTGTCCGTCTGTACGTACATACGTCCGTACGTCCCAAAATTGGTTTCCGTTCTCTAACTTGAGTCTGCCTCAACCAAATGTAAAAGTAAAAACTTCTACACAATGCTTATTACCACAAAACACAGATCAAGTTTGAATTTTGGCGTCACTTTAACTGTTCTAGAGTTATGCCCCTTTATAAATGGAAAAATTGCAAAATTTTTAGTTTCCGTTCTCTAACTTAAGTTTGCCTCAACCAAATGTTATAAAACTTATACACAATGCTTATTACCACAAAACACAGATCAAATTTTGGTGGCGTCATTTTAACTGTTGTAAATTTTTATTTTCTTCTAAATATCAAGTAATTTTTAAAATTGGAATTATTTTCCTTTGTCCATTATTATAGTTGAATCAACTACAATCAATGCTTTATACAATGCAATGTTTAATTTTGACTTCCACTGATAAAACACAGATCAAGTTGAATTTGGGTAGTGTCACTTTAACCATTATTGAATTATGCCCCTTTATAAATTGAAAGATTGCAAATTTTTAGTTTCCATTCTGTAACTTAAGTTTGCCCCAACCAAACATTATGAAACCTATACCCAATATTCATTACCACAAAACTAAGATCAAGTACAATTTTTTTGTTTCCGTTTTCTAACTTTAGTTTGCCTCAACCAAATGTTATGAAACTTATACACAATGCTTATTACTACATAATACAGATTAAGTACGAAATTTGGTGGCGAAACTTTTACCATTCTTGACTAATGTCCCTTTAAAAACATAAAAATTGCTGAATTTTTCGTTTCTGTTCTCTAACTTTAGTTTGTCTCAACCAAATGTTATAAAACTTATACACAACTGCCGTTCTAGAGTTATGCGTGTTTTCAAATAGAAAAATTGCTGAATTTTTAGTTTCTGTTCTCTACTTAAGTTAGCCTCAACCAAATGTTATGAGACTTACACACAATGCTTATTTCCACAAAACTCAGATCAAGTTCAAATTTGGGTAGCGTCACTTTTACCGTTCTTCAGTTATGTCCCTTTATAATTTTTCTATCTATCTATCTTCATATTTCCGCACTCAGTCACAACTTTGACTATTACGTGCCCAGAATAAAGTTAAAATAGCCTTGCAAGACGTCATAATTATTTGGACTAATCTTTTGGCAAATATGGTCGTACCACAGGGGTTTGTTACAATTTGCTGGGTTTTCTATCCTTACGAACCCTGAAAAACTTACCAGGCCAGGTGATAAAAAATCTGTCTCCCCTTTTTATCCCACCAGAAAAAAGGTTGTCTCCTTACACCTACATGACAAAAACATATACAAATATGGTATCATTGCGAATGTGAGTGCTCTTCAACAGAAACTAAAAAAGTAGAAGTTAACAACTATATAGGTCACCGTACAGATTTCAACAATGGGCTAAAAAGCCAAACTGCGTAATAAGCTACAAAAGGCTAAAATAGATAGACAATATCTGACAAGGGTAGAAATGTTCAGAATGTAGAAAAAAAAATCTACTGTCCATTTGCATCAAAACTGGCAGCTGACTCATAGGAGTTGTTGCCTTAAATACAGATTTTAACCATTTATTTTTTCTTCATATTTCTTGAATTTGCCTTTTTGTCTCGAAAACTGTAATAATTAAAGAGAAACTTAAATCTTATTAAAAAGTTATTGCTTTTCAATGATGATTTTGATCCAGTTTTTGCAAAAACTTGGAAACTTTAAATCTTGGGTAAACTCCTTATATTATACTGCCTGGTCTCGTGGTAGCGTGTTCACCTCACATGCAGAAAGTTGTTTATTTTGAACCCAACCGGGTAAAACCAAAGACTTTAAAGTTGGTATTTCCTGCTTCTCCCCTAAGCACGCAGTATTATTAAGGAGTAAGAGCAAATACTGGTTTGTTCAGAGTCAGAATAATGTGTCAAGGTAAGGTGACATGTCTCTCTGAGAACTAGTGTAAGAGATAAATTGTCTGGTCAGACAAATATAACTAGTATAAAAAGTCCATGGATACAGAATTTACTAATATATTTAGTCCGATGTCAGTAATTTATGTCCCCAGACTAATTTTCCTAGTCCATGACATCACTATTCCTAGGTAAAAATGTCCAGTTTTTCTAATACTGTATGCAACATGTCAAGTATATTTGGTGTATGAAAATTTTTAAGGATGTACATGTTAGTCTGGCATGTTTTATTCGACCTTGACCTCATTTTTATGGTTCATTGCTCAATGTTATTTTATTGTTTTTTGGTCAGTTTTTCTATTTTCTTATTTTCAAATTAGCAATAGGTCAACTATATTTGGTGTATGGAATGATTGTAAGGTGCATATGTCTGACTGAGAAGTTTCATCTTACCTTGACTTTATTTTCATAGTACATTGGACAATGTTTAGTTTTTGTGGTTTTTTTCGGATACTGTAAGCAAAAACATGAATAAGGCCCCTATATTTGGTGAATGGAATGATTGTGAGATGCACATGTCTGTCTGGCATGTTTTATATGACCTTGACTTCATTTTCATGGTTCATTGGTCAATGAAAAGTTTGCATTGTTTTGTCAGTTTATCATATGCTTTAAGCAACAAGTAAATTATATTTGGCGGATGTAACGATTGTAAGGTGTTCATGTCTGTCTGGCAGATTCATATAACCATGATCGCATTTTATGGTTCTTTGGTCAATGCTAAGTTTTCTTGGTTTTTTATACAACCGCAAAAAATTGGTATGACGTTGGCGTTGTCGTCGTCCGAAGACATATTGGTTTTCGCACTCTAAATTTAGTTTAAGTGAATGGATCTCTTTGAAATTTTACCATAAGGACTGATTTTTGGGGTTATGGTACCAACAGTTAAGGAATTAGGGGCCAAAAATAAGCATTTTTGTAACTTCCAGACATAACTTGTGTGTTAGAGTATGGATCTCTCTGACATTGTACCACAAGGTTCCATATCACACAGGGAATGCTGGGATTGATTTTGGGGGTAATTGCCTCAAAATATTAGGAATTAGGGGCCAAAAAAGGGGCAAAAAACAAGCATTTTTCTAGTTTCATGACAATAACTTGTGTGTAAGTGTATGGATCTTTCTGAAATTGTATTACAAGGTTCCATATCACAAAGGGAAAGCTGGAATTGAGTTTGGGGGTAATTGCCCAAAACGTTTAGGAATAAGGGGCCAAAAAGGGGCCAAAAATAAGCATTTTTCTAGTTTCCAGACAATAACTTGTGTTCAAGTCTAAGGATCTCTCTGAAATTGTACTGCAAGGTACCATACCACAAAGGGAAGGCTGGGATTGATTTTGGGGGCAATTGCTTTAAAATTTTAGGAAAAAGGGGCCAAAGAAGGGGCAAAAAACAAGAATTTTTCTAGTTTCATGACAATAACTTGTGTGTAAGTGTATGGATCTTTCTGAAATTGTACTACAAGGTTCCATATCACAAAGGGAAAGCTGGGTTTGAGTTTGGGGGTAATTGCCCTAAACGTTTAGGAATTTGGGGCAAAAAGGGGCCAAAAAAACAAGCATTTTTCTAGTTTCCAGACAATAACTTGTGTATAAGTGTATGGATCTTTCTGAAATTGTACTGCAAGGTACCATACCACAGAGGAAGGCTGGGATTGAGTTTGGGGTGATGAATCATAAGGGGGTTCAAAAAATTTTTGGGGGGGGGATTTTTTTTCCCCCTTTTTTTTTTTTTTTTTCTTTAAAATTTTCCATTTTAAATTGGTTATTTCTGATTTATATATAAAAGCAAATAATAATGATATGGTTTGAATAGGAAAATTAAAATTTTTTAAGTTCTTAGACCACATTCATTCTGTGTCAGAAACCTATGCTGTGTCAAATATTTAATCACAATCCAAATTCAGAGCTGTATCAAGCTTGAATGTTGTGTTTATACTTGCCCCAACTGTTCAGGGTTGGACCTCTGCGGTCGTATCAAGCTGCGCCCAGCGGAGCATTTTATTCATTTTATCAGATATTATAAGCATATGTCTACTTGTTGGTGTGTGGAATGACTGCAAGGTGTCATATAAAAATAAGAAGATGTCTGTCTGCCAAGTTTAATATTACTGAGACCTTATTTTCATAGAATATTGATAATATCAAGCAAAAATGATGAGCAAGACAAGATACAAATGATCCAAAATTGTCAGTTGCCTACTTATTATGTAATAGTAGTTATTGTCATCAAATGATAATGTTTACCCTTTTATGTGTAGGGCAAGAACATTAAAGATAAAGGGAAACTATAAACAAAAGAAATTATCAACAAAAATAGATTTACAGACGTCAACAAAGCCTAAATGGTAAGTCCACTTCTATAAAAGTTATTGCCCTTGAATAATGATTATTATGAAAATAAGATGTGGTATGATAAATGAGAAAACTATCCACCAGAGTTCTATTAAGTGGATGTAAGCAATGCAATTACTTATTAGAGGCCAATGATGACCTGTAAATAATGACAGGCAAAATATGGCAGGGTTGATATAAAAATAAGAAGCGGTACGATTGCCAATGAGACTTTTCTCCAATAGAGATCAAATGACATTAAATTTAACAAAATTAGTTCACTGTACAGCCTTCGACAATGAGCAAACCCTATACTGCATAGTAATCCATAAAAGGCCATGAAATAACAAATGTAAAACAATTCAATAAGGGCATGGCGTCATTTAAAAAGGGCATGGTGTCTATCCATGCTAAACATGCTTGGGGGAAACACCACAAAGGTGAAAGCCAAGTGCCTGATTTTTGCACAAAACAATAAACAAAAAACAAATATGATATATAGCAACAATTGACAACCACTGAATAATAGACCCCTGACTTGGGACAGACACTTACAAAATGTGGCATGGTTTAACATGTTTGCTGGCGCCAAATCCTCCTCTAATTAAGGACAGTGGTGTAAGTGTCAGTTCAATATAAAAACTATAAAATCAGTTTAAAAGGGTTTTTTTCTGCTCTTGGGTCAGGTTATTTTGATACATTCCCGTTTTCATTCTCAATTTTATTAACTCATTAGAATGCAACAAAGCAGAAAAACAGCTACCAAAAACACAGACCGGATGTGGCTGGAAATTTATTCTTTCCCTTTAACAAAAAAGACTCAACATACAGATCTATTAGTACTCGCAGTTACTGACAGCTAATTCAAAGCAAATATCAACTAATAAAATAAACATTTAGTGAGCACCCAACCCACCCCTAACCTGGGACAGTGGTTTTAATAACAGCACAACATTTGAACAAACTGTAAACATTTGTTGCAATTGGCTTAACTCAAAAGACTGCAACAAGGCACAAAAAACAACTAATATGAAAACCATAGACACAAAGCACTGAAATAAGAGTTCTTACAATTTTAAATATTCAAATGAAATTTTTATCAAAATGTACATAAACAAGATAAAATAGCCATTTTATTGCTGTATTTCTCTTCATTTATAATTTTTGAGTTTTGTGTATTTGTAGGTCAGACATCTTGGTTTTCATGATCATCATTCAACAGGTCAATACTGAACAGCAAACTTAAAGTTGATATTTTTCTACATAGTGTGACTTTTTTATTAATTTGAAATGGAATGTGTTTTTTTTTCCTACATAAGAAAGAGGAAATTTCAACATAATGACTATAAACAAAAAGGAGTCATATCATCATGATCATAGATGCTCAAGAACTTAATCATGTAAATGCAACAACGTAATTATCAATTGAAAGAAGGGAGGAATGAAAAAATATATTAGTATTTTGTTGTCCAAATGAACTTGCTTTGTCCACTCATTTAAATTGCTCCATCCAATAAAGATGTACGGAGGAAGATTTTTGAAGAACAGATTGCAAAAATGTTTTGTCTAAGAATTGTAGGAACATTCTAGTGGATGAAATAATTTATTTACTTGACTCTTATATAGTGGACTGAATAATTGTTCATAGCAAGCTGAAACAAGAAAACTAAAACTTAACAGGAAAAGTGTTTATTTTATAAATTTACAAATATAAATGTAATATTATGAACACCACAAAGGAATAAGATTCAAATCGTTTGCATATTCATGTATTGCAATGGAACTATAACAAAGAAAACTTTACCTCATGAAAAGAGTAAACTATTAACTGTGCTTTGTCAATTTATTCAGTCAGAATATGAAATATTTTTTTCAGTTCTATTTTTCATAATAAAACAAAGAAGACAAAGATTTCAAATCAATATTTTTTTCTTTTATTAAGACGTCATAATTTTATTTCAGTTAAAGGATTTTATTTTTTGACTTTAAATATTATTATATTTCCAAAATAATAATAATCTTTATTGTCATATAAACAAATTAAAAACATGTTTGTGACAAAATGAAAAAAACCAAAATACACTCATATATATATTATAAACTTTTTACTACCAAACAGAATTCATTGTAACATACACATTACTGTATATTTATAATTTGAATTCCATAGGATTTTATTTTGTCCCATGGGATATTGAAAATCCCATGGGATAATTATAGTCCCATGGGATTTTTTTTGTCCCATGGGACAACAAATATCCCATGGGACTACAATTATCCCATGGGATCCAAAAAAATCCTATGGGATTTAACCAAAATCCCATGGGATAATGGTCAATCCCATGGGATTTGCCCTATCCCATGGGATATTGAAAATCCCATGTTTTTCTAAATCAAATTACAAAATATATATAATAATAACAGCAGAAAAGCAATGAAATTATTGAATCCCATGTTATTCCGCACATTTTGGTTATTTACACGACACTGTAGGTCTAAGGAGAGGCGGCGGCGGATTTGCAAATGAGTGTTTTGCAAATTAAAAGTGTCCAGTGTTCAATAGTCATGTCCTGGCTAGTTTACAGTTGCTACCTATTAGAGTTTTCGTGATAATAGGCAAATACATGAAAATTAGTCAAAACTTGTCATTTTTAAAAAGGCAATTACGCCTAAAGCAGTTTTGGAATGGTTTCAGTTATTTGGCTTTATCGTAGATCTTTTATTACCCTTTTAGAATATAGCAAAGTACTCTCGACCAATGAAATTGTAGGATTGGATGCCTCTTAATTGTGAAGAATGAATGTAAATCATGTTCTTAGTAAGGGATTATCCTATTATTTGGGTCTATTTACAGTTCAAAACAAAGAGTTTCTATAAATGAGTTACAACTGCCCTGAAGCACATTTATCAGATTGAAAGAATTTATCACAGAGTGATTGAAACTGACTAAAAGTTGAATTGTGAAACAAACTAAAATCTCAAAATAAGTTGAAGTTCACTGGTGCAGTAAAATTGGTACCGTGAATGTTATTATGAAAATATTAATAACTTCAAATTACTATAAAATTAAACAATACCAAAGCAATGCAAAAAAAAAAAGGAAAAAAATCTTTCAGATAAAAAATAACCTAAATCTTTAGCTTTCCAAAACTTTGATTACTTGATCAGCAGTTGGGGAGAATAGTTATTTCCAATACATGTATTCCGATAAAAAAAAAACAGGAATTTAGTTTTGAACATATTAAAAACTCTTTTAAGGGCATTATTTTTGAACATTTTCCTGACATAATGAAACAGTATTTGATGTAAAAAGCCGGACCAAATTATTGGCTGTGAAATAAAATTTAGTTGTTACTCAAATGTATTAATTGATTTAAACTGTAAATAAAAAAAGGATAATTCCTCACTAAAATATTACATGATTTACATTCATACTCACAATCAGGAAACATACAATTCCTACCTTTTCTTTCTACTGTTGTGTCACCTAATATCTATAACGCATTTTTTTAAAAATATTTCCGTAATAGTTATACACCGAGGGATAGGTGTGTCTGGATAAGAAACCCCGTCGGCCGGAGGCCGGAGGGGTTTCTTATCCAGACACGCCGTATCCCGAGGTGTATAACTAACTTACACCCCATTCTAAACCCTATATTTGTTAACATTGATTATTAAATGAAAAAAAAACTATAGCATATTTATTGACAATATCAATATTTTTTTTATTACATGAAACCCCACTAGTAACCTTTTTTTGGTTATCTTCGTTCAAACTTTGACAAGTGAGTGTATTTTTACAAATGTCAAAGTTGTTTTGCATATTCCCGTTAAATCTATGTGCTAATATGGATCAGGAGGTCAAGGTTGACGTGTTTCGTGTATTCTTATTACAAACAAAACATACACCATGCTGCTGGTATACAGTTGTTAATATGGACGGGTATAAGACGGACGACATTTTGTGGCAAGCGTTGGATTTGGTAGAAGAGACTAAAGATAAAGGCAATATTATAACCCAAAGTACTTACCTGTATCAGTTTAATAAAGGTAATCATAACTGTATTTTATATCTTACGATTTTATCAAAAACAACCCCCCCCCTCCCCACTCTTCTCGAGAATAAACAAACATTCATATTCGAACATGCTAAGGGATAGGTGTGTTTGCATTAAAAACCCGACTACCAGACACGCTCAACATACAATATTTAATATAGAGGAACTCACTTTTTGGGGGCAATCAGGGGCTGATCCCGGGGGTTCATAACTAAAAAGAAAAAGGGGGGGGGTCCAACCATTCAAATGCATTGATCTTTTCAATAAAAGTCGGGTCCAACCCGCGGAACCCCCAACCCCGGATCGGCCACTGGATAAACGGGGGGGGTGGGGGGGGGGGGGGTCCGGTAGTTAGAATCCCCATTTTTTTTTTACAGATCAATGCTTTAGAATAGAGACACATGACTGTGATAAAAAAAAATTACCTTCAAGCAAAAGAGTATTTTAATAAAGGATTATTTTTGTATTCCATATAGATGCCTATTGGAATTTCCTAAAATGTGTTTTTTAATATCATGAAACAATTTGTAGTGAACACTATTAGTAATGTCTTATATTCATGCTATTTAAAAAATAATCAATTTCTATTGTTACGAATAACAATGGACTTTGTTTGCGGGATGTAGAAGCAGGGGTTTCCAGAAACCCCGCTCGTCACACCCTGTGGTCAAAATCCATTGTTATTCGCAACAATAGATCTATTCAATTTACACTTGTTTCAGAAATAGAAACTATGAAGTATAACAATAGAACTGGGGTGTAACAAATGATAAGAAAGTCCTCACATCACTAAAACTAATCCATAAATGACATGCCGAAAAAGGAAGTCATGCATCAATTATAAACATTGCACTGACAATGAAACTAATTGATAGATCATTTGAGCCTTGAGCACTTTACAATATTCTAAGTTTGTAAGAGAATGATAATCCCTTACTTCATGATAAGTACTCGCTAACGCTCGTACTTATTCATGAAGAAAGGGATTATCATTCTCTTACATATACGTTTATGACCGACGACGGATTAAGGACTACGACGAACGTCACTTAATGGGAAATCTAACATGAGCTGTTAGACCAGATGCGCTAAAAAATAAACAAGATTTATGTAATGAAAAAAAATAGATAAAGAAATAAAGAAGAAAAATAAAAGTACATCATACATAGAACTGTCCAAAACAGGTCTATAATTAAAACTGCCAGTATATGCTGTAAGGCAGAAATGTCAGAATCAATTCTTGAGTACAACTTTCCAAAATTGTTTTAGGGTAAAACTTTTGAAAACTGTTCTAGAATAGAACTGCCTATACCTATTCTAGGGTAGAACTGTCAAAAACTGTTCTAGGTAAGATGTCCAAAACTGCTCTAGGATAGATCTGCCCAGAAATGACTATATTGTCATGTGTTGTATATCATATTTGTTTTTTGTTTATTAATTGTTGGGGCCTCGGTAGCCGAGTGGTCTAAGTAGTCGAACTATTATATCACTAGCCTGTCAACACTGAGGTTGTACTCGACTTCAATCTTAATTGACTAGGATTGTTAGTTTTCCTACCGAATGTCGATGGTACTCTTCGGTCACAAGGGCTTCCTCCATTAATAAAAACTGATAGCAACGAATTAGCACAACAGTGCTGAAATTGGTGTTAAACAACAATCATTCGATCAATAAATCGTTTATCATTTTGTAAATAAATCAGGGCGTTATTTTTCTTGTTTAAATTGTTTTACATTTGTCATTTTGGGGCCTTTTATAGTTTACTATGCGATATGGGTTTTGCTCATTGTTAAAGGCTGTGCAGTGACCTATAGTTGTTAACTTCTATGTAATATGGTCTCCGGTGTAGAGTTGTCTCATTGGCAATCATACCACAATTTCTTGTTTTCATATTATAATTGTGTACGGCAGACGCGCGTTTCGTCTTAACAAGATTAATCATCGATGTTCGAATCAAAATGATTAAAAGGCAAAATCAAGTAAGAAGTTAAAGAACATTGAGGATCAAAATGCCGATAAGTATTTTGATGAATTCAAAGATTTTAAAATTAAATTCATTCAAATGACCGTATCGATGATATCTAATGTCAGCACAGAAGTGCTGACTCCTGGGCTGGTGATTTCCTCGGAAACTAAAAATCCACCAGCATTGGAATCGACCCAGTAGTTGCGAAAACTCAACTTATAGATACCAAGTTTATAATTTTGTAAACCATAAGCGCTTTTTTGTTAACAAGACTCATCAGTGACGCTCGAATCAAAATAGCTAAACGGCTTAATCAAGTAAGAAGAAGAAAAGCACTGAGGACCAAAATTACCGAAAAGTTTTGCCAATACGGATAAGGTTATGTATGCCTGATGGAAGAAAAGCCCAATTGTTTCGACTGATATAAATATGTATTTTTTGGTAAAAGTTTATACAAATGACCATAACGAAGTCACCACAGAAGAACTGACTACTAGGCTGGTGATACTCTCGGGGACTGTCCAAAAGAACTGTCCAAAAATGTTCTAGGGTAAAAACCGCTAATGACAGAAACTGTTCAAAGGGTGTCAGGAGAACGATTTAATTGACTATTGTAGAACAGTTCTCCTGACATGTTTAAAAAAAAAAGGTATATAGCTGATCCTTACTGTATAAACGTCTTGGATATTTCGAAAACCAGGACCTAAAGCATTTACCTATGTTAATGTATGTACAGAATTGAAATACAAAAAAATTATTGAATTATAAATTAAACACAGATCACGTTTCAACGCGATTTTTACATAGGTCTGGCAATGCTCTACTCTATTGTTCTGTGCAGCTGTATATGAAAGAGGACAGTGCTTAATTTAAGGCTCATGTAAGAAAAACTGGTCAGTAAAACAACAGTCTAGCTAATTATTCAGGACAAACTTTTATCAATCGGTGAAAGAAGATGGGTGTCCAAATACCGATAACTTGTACAAAAGTTTATAAAAAATTATAATTTGTACAAAATTACAACTTGTACTTAACTTACATATAATAAAAATAATAAATAACACCTTCTTTTAGAGGAGGAATGCAATTACCTCTTTTCTCATTTGCTGTAAGACGACTGAAAGCACTGCTGATGTCAGAGGACAATGATTTCTGACGACTTTCTACACTATTAATGTCCGATCGAATTGAAGTTAGCTCTCCTTTTAAATTACGTAATTTTTCGTTGACAATTGGTACTGAAAAAAACATTGACAAAATTAACTAACAACAATCAATTGAATCTTTAGAAAACTGATTAGTTTAATGGTATGCATAAAGTCAAATTTTCAAAAAAGTGTGAAGAACTCCCCCGGTTGTAGGAAAGGACGTTGTGCAAAATGTGTTGGTTAACTTGAGTTATATACCTATGTGGAGTTGTTTTCATTCAGAACGATATGTCATTCTTTCGACCTAGGTCAAAGGTCAGAGTTATAATTTCAAGGAAAAGGCAGCTTAACGTTTAGACAGCTGGCCGCCTCTACATATATGCGTTTATAGCAAATTATAACTATAGTTTCTATATTTAGGACTAATTTGATGTTTCTGTTGCCAAATATGGTTCGAGATTGACATTTGTACTTATAGGGTGCATATTTACAATTTTCAATCAACTGTTAAATAACAGTGACCTTGACCTATTAAAATTTCCAAATTCGAACTTTTCACACAAGATTCGATACAAGTGACCTCTAGAGATGTTTTTTTAGATATTAACATTTATAAGTTCCCCAAATGTTACTTTTCCGTGTTTTGATAGAAGGTGTTCGTAATGATTTTCTGGGTAAATATCCAATTTTCTTTTGGTGAGTGTGGAAGAACATCAAATTGTAATTGATTCCAAAAGTGGTGTAATATTAACTAAGAATGGATTGAATTAGCAGGTCTGAGTACATCTTTGCTTTATAGAAATAAGAAAAAAACTGCAAACGGTAAAAAAGGGGGAGGGTTTCTGTCAAAGTTATAAAAAAATGACAATTAGAAACAGGTTAATCACTCCATCTTACACACTTATATCAAGTGTACTATATATGACTTATTGAGCATAAATTGGCCGACAATTGACATGAAGTTAAAGATTATCTACAAAAAAAGGGTTATGTACAACATCGATGTATTTTACAAACACTTGTAAACAACATCAATATAATTAAAATATAGATCTCTGATTTCGTTATCCTCATATGTGCTTATATATACGAGCACACGTGTTAATATAGATCAGAATTTTATTCAGATTAAAACAACATAGAAAAATTGTCGAAGCTAGTAGTAGCTATTGCGTTTCGTTGTCTACTGTAAAGTTGGAAGCCCACCGACCAGGTTTAGCTTAGAGAGCTAATTTCAGTTGTTCTTTTTTAAATCGCATTCGACGCAAGTCGCAGAATGATGGGCATACAGAATACAATCCGATGGTGGCGGCGGCAACACCGTAAACTATTTGTATAGCTTCATAGTTAAGAGGGCAGAGGAATTGGAGGATTCATACTTTGTATATAGAAGTTTCCGTCTGTCATATAATCTCTGTCCTTGACCTCATTTTCATTGTTTAGTGACTGCTAAAAAACTGTATAGCTTTTTTTTTGTCATGTGAATGTCTCACTTATCATGAGTTCTAGGATAACTATATTTGGTTACTAATATATTGTATCCTTGCCAGGTTTATATGTCCGTGAGACATGGTTCACCTGACCTCGATCTCATTTCGTGGATCAGTGAAAACGGTTTAGTTTCAGTGGTCAAGTCCGTATCTCAGATAATATACGTAGTGGGTCAAATATATTTTGTGTATGTAATGGTAGCAAGGTGTACATCTCTGTGTGGCAGAGTTTATCCGATCTTACCTCATTTGTATGGAACATTGATAATGTTAATTTGAAGTACAACTCGTTGTATAATATAAAAAAATAAGGAGATGTGGAAGTAAGCAAGTATAGGTAACCGTACGGCCTTCAACAATGAGAAAACCCCATACCGTATGGTCGGATATAAAAGGACCCGATATGAAAAATTTGAAACAATTCATTTGAGAAAACTAATGGCCTAATTTATAACAAAACAATTTAACAAAAATAAAGGGACGACCATTTGATTTCGAAAAGGGGGAGGGGAAATGGATTTTGAAAATGAAAAAAATTGGCCTGATGTGAACTGAAAAAATTTGACTTTGCACAAAACAGGATGAAAATGAATACTCTGCAACATTAAATGCAGGATAGTTGAGGATCTAAATAATTATGTGAACTTTTGTCATGTGTTTGTATTCCCCTGTTCCGAGAGGAGGGATACACCGATTACAATTGACCGTGTTTCTGTTCGCTTGTGTTTAAAGATTTTGGTTCATTTATTTTTTTTTTTCGTTTGGATTGATTCACAATTTGTCTTGTCGGGGTTTTTTTTATAGCTGATCCTATAATTTTAAACAACCGATTATTTTTAATTGTATTATTATCATAGAAAAAAATCAAGCATTCCAATTTGAAACATGGTAGAAAGATTGAACATGTATGCTTGGCACATGTAGGTCATTGGCTTCAGTAGTTTGCTCGGACAAACCAATTGCCAATTCATCTTTGAAATTACCGCAGTTGTGTCTGCTGGTGTATAATTTATAGCACGAACGGTTGTACATTTTTGTTGTTGTTCACACTGAGGGATTTAGGTCGAAAACATCATGGAAAACCATAACATAGAATTGATGTGCCATATTCCGTATGTGAAACGAAACTGACCGATTTGATTTTTATACTACAATTATATCAAAAATATCTAGTCAATAAAAAGTTTAAAGTTTTGAAAAACAGACACAAAACATATTCCTCCGAAGAAAATAACAATCTACAAAGTCAGCTGGCTATTATAAACAAATGAATCAACCACAAACAAGCACAAACGAGAAATGTATTGAGTGACCACTGTCCTTGTTAATGACTTAATAGTGTAAGCTACAAAATGATTATGGCACGAGATTATCCGTGCTTAATCGATGCCAAAATGTTGCCTAAATTTGTGTTTTTAAATTGCTTATTTCTTCGAAATGACTTTGATTTCACACATGAAATTTGGCACACACATGCACTGTGCCTTATTGCTTTATTCAGAGTAAAAAATATCGCGATGATACACGTAATAATTTTGCATTCGATGAAAATGTGGTAAACTACGGGTAAAATGTTTGTCTTATTAAAATGCTGAAATACTTATACTAAAATCACTTGAATACTTTCCGCTTTCGTTATATGATATATTTAATATCTAAACTATATAATTAGTACTATTTTAACCACCAAAAAAGAGCGCAATAATTTTATTTTTCATGTTAAAGATTCCCCGTATAATACAGTATCTGGGGTACCCTGTAAAACACGAAATATAGAAAATCGTGACCACGGGAAATTACGACGACAATCATGTTTGTAAAATATAATAATTTTCCTATAATTTGCAAACAAAATTAGCCGTGTGTTATCCGTTACCTTAAACTCGTTAACTAGAGGACTTTTTGGACACTGGGCACCCTACTACAATTCTATATCTTAGAAATCGAAAATTAATTCAGTACCGCGAATAACTATACGATTACGGTTTTAGATTTCTTTTTTATATAAGGGTTAATATGCTTTTATTTATGAGTAGACATCTTACTATTTAAATGAATGTAAGATATGTCACATGCAAATCTACTGGTTTACATTAACACCTAAACCATGAATGCAGGACCTATTTAAGTTAAATGTATCGAAAATTCTACCTGTAACTCATTAAAAGCCCTTTTACTTTATATTGTAAAGGAAGAAGATTTTGCCCACTTAGAGGTAAAACAGTTTTAAAAATCTCGTTTCTATATTTTTCATCTTAAGAAAAAAAAATGATTATTTTCAAAATAGTATTTATTCTTATAAATACCTTATTTGATATCTGTCAATAGAAGTTAATCTATGCCATTGATATAGTAAAAAGTAAAATAACAAAAATACCGAATTCCAAGGAAAATTCAAATCGGAAAGTCCCTTATCAAATGGCAATGTCTTAAGCTCAAACACATCAAACGAATTGACAACAACAGTCATATTCCAGACTTGGTATAGACATTTCATAATGTAAGAAATGGTGGATTAAACCAGGTTTTATAGCTAGCTAAACTTCTCACGTGTATGACAGTCGCATACAATTCCATCATATTGACAACAATGTGTGAACAAAACAATCGGACATAATTGGTAAAAATGTCAAAAATAGTGATACAGCAGTCAACATTGTGTTATAATCATAATCACTATAAAAACAAACAAATATGTCAACAAAGAAAAACAAAATGGTATAAACAAAGCACATGAGCTCAAATGAAAGACAAGAATACACAAAGTATGACCACAGCACAACAACAAATTGACGGGATGCATAAGTACCGAGCCACGTTTAAAGGATATTACCACAAACAGTAAAGGTTAATAATTTCGAAGACAAACAAAAGAACACTTTAACACGTGATTAAGATGATAAACAACGTCAGTACCCAGAATCTATAATTCAAGTCCATCTTGTATTATTTGCGAAGTTGATACGAAATATGTATCAACAAAGTCTTGGTATCTTCCGATGAACTTTTTTAGAAAAAAGGCGAGACGTTCTTCGACATAACCCTGGTTTATCAACTAGAGATTCATTCATGCATATAGTAAATGATAATTTTTATCAAAAATGATTTTTTTGGCAAACTTGGCGGTACTATATAAAGCGGCATAACTCTTTGACTTTATGTTGGAGAAATGTTTATTACAAAGTTAGTTCCTTCCCCTGTTGTTATATGATTTTAGAAGGCGCTTCAGTTGAGGATTGAAAGTGGCAGGAAAATTTGGGAACTGAAATTATACCCCATCCCTCCCTTGATAACTGATTTCTATAATAATTATTTTTAAAATTGTTATATTTTATGTAAGGCACAATCATATTTTTACTTTGTCATACTAGATGTCAGTGTTATATTAGAATGTAAGCCCATCCTCGATGGGCGAATGTAACCCCATCTTTGATGGGATGGGTCAATAAGGTTTTGTAATTATAAACATATATGTATGTATAAATATGATTTATTGATTTAATTATACATGTTTATCATTTTGTTGCTTCTTCGTCATTTTAATGATAAATGACAGTTTTCAATTCATACATGTGTTTGTTTGTCATTCCTTCACCCCAT